CGGGCCGGGCAGGGAACGCACCCGAGTGGCACAAGTTGGCTGGAGATCTGGAGAGTTATCGCCTTGCCCGTTTGAGCAGCAGCCCCCCGCCCCCCAGTTCTGGCAGACTGTGGCCATGGGGGGCCACCTGCCTCCTGTTGCCAGTGCTTCCGATTTTCCAGGAAAGCTGAACGTGGGGTTTTTTTTTTTTTTGTTACCTGAAATCGTCTGTTTCCTCAGAGTTGGCAACTAAAGCAAGAATAAAAATTGGAAACCAAAACCAAAACCAAAAATCAGCCACCAGTTTGTAACCTGTGGATCCTTTCTTCTGCCGCCTTTCTACAGCCTGTCTCTGGTTGGAGCAGGTTCTAATTATCCCCCCGAGGGCCACCTCTCTCGGGAAGTCCTTCACTACCTGACATGAAGCCCCATACCCCATCCCCTGATTGTAGTTTGTCACCCCCCATGTGAGATTGCCACCTGGGAGTAGTGGAAAAAGCATGGGCTTTGACTTGGATAGATTCCAGACAGCTGCTGTGCAGCCTTGTTCCAGGCACTTGTCTTCTCTGAGCCTCTATTCCCTGTCTGAAAAACAAGTAAGGTAAAACTGTACTCACTAGGTTTTTGAAAGGACTAAAGACAGTAAGACAGACACTCAAGTCAATCAGGATTAGGCAAACATGGAATTTATGCAAAGTCCAGGATCACATACAGCTTCAGGAACAGTTGGATCCAGGGCTCACACAGTGTCCTCAGGACTTGGTCTGTTCATCTTACTCTTCTGTACTGACTCCATTCATAGGCAGGCTAGTGTCCGTGGTGCCACGGTGGCTGGCTGCAAGCAGATCCATAGTAACATTCCATCCTTTCAGCACGCCCTCTTCCCAGCAGATTCCTCCAAAGCCCCCAAATTGCCACTCATGATTGGCTGGGCCCTTTACCCTTCCCTGCACCATTCACTAGGACTTGCAGATTTGAGTGCCGACTGGTTGGTCCTATCCCAGAATGGATAGAACCAACCAATGTCCTCTCCAAGGACACCAGGCTCCTTGGTGCCAGAAGGGGGAATGGATGCTAGCAGGAAAACCTACAGACATTCTACCCAGGCTGCAAGCCTCATGAGGGCGAGGACCTAGTTCACCCTGGGGTTCCTAGCACCTAGGACAGTGCCTGGTATGCAAGAAAGTCAAGAGTGAATGAAAGGATATCCTCCACAGCGCGTGTCGAGCACCTGGCACAGAGCCTCGCATCAGTTGCACTGTGGCCCTCGTGCCTCCTTCCTGGAGGGCTGGGATAAAGGTCTTGCACCCTCACCGGCTTCACCTGTCTGAGGGAGTGTCATGGTTCTGCAGTGCCTGCTCAGTATGGAGCTTGCTAGCTTAGCTCGGGGAGCCCCGGGACACCCATTTGTTAGGGCCAGCTTGACAAACGGTAATTCTAATCATCGGTGAGCACACCACCTTGCATTCACAGGTATCATTCCCCAAAATCATCTCATTCTTCGCTTCTTTACTGCCCGTGTCCAGATAATTTATGTTTGTTACTGTTTTGAGACCGAGCTAGACGAACTACAGGTAGAGCTCCAATTTCAGCAGCTGTAAAAAGGGGCTGTAATCCACCCTGCAGGGTTGTGGGGAGGATTAGGGGACATAATGAAAAAGTGGAACACCTGGGCGCAAGGGTTGGCACGAAGTGGACGCTCAGGCGAGGCCAGGTTCCCTGTGAATGCCTTCAAATCAAGGTCTTCGTATGAGCCTTTCCATGAAGACCTTAGTGAATGGCCACTGAGGACACACGGAGAGACAAATAGACATGGCTATACACGCACACATAGAGTTAGGGAAGAACCCCAATCTTATGGCCAAGACTTTACGGATCAGCAGGACAATTGACTCCAGTGAGTAAACAGTAAGATCATTACATGGGGGCACTGGTTACTGCACCCCAAGTCCCCTGGGGTGACACAGTGGACCCAGACAGTGACTGTGTGGACAGTGGATTAGTGCCGGAAGAACTCGGAGCTAAGGGCCCGGCACCTCGGGTAGCCAGCAGTGAACAAACTGGTTGCCTTTCTCTGGGCCTGAGCACCACGCTGCGGTCGCTTTGACCTACTTAATTACCTACGTGACTAGCTACCGCCGTGGCTCAGCGTCAGAGGATGGTGAGGCCTTAACAGTTCACATACTCAGCAGGGACACGCAGGACCCTTGGCGGACCGCCTCACCCATCTCACACACACACACACACACACACACACACACACACCCCTTACTTTTCCAAAGATGGGGTGGTGGCCTGGCTGCTGATAGTGAGCTCCCATGGGAGGTATTCATCACACTTGGTGATGACAGGTGCCATGGCTTTGAGCACCTTGCAGTTGCCGTGGGTGCTTCCCAACTCTTCTGCGCATGCCCATCACCCGGGGCGATCTCTGGTGCGGGAGGTCTGAGGTGGAGCAGGGGACTCTGCCTTTCTTTTTTTTTATTTTATTTTATTTTATTTATTTATATGAGAGACAGAGAGCACGAAAGGGAAGAGGGTCAGAGGGAGAAGCAGACCCCCAGCTGAGCAGGGAGCCCGATGTGGGACTCAATCCCGGGACTCCAGGATCATGGCCTGAGCCGAAGGCAGTTGCTTAACCAACTGAGCCACCCAGGCGCCCCGGACTCTGCCTTTCTAATAAGCGCCCGGGCGATGCCCCTACTGCTGGTCTGCAGACCACACATTGAGAAGCCAGGATTTGGGTGACTTTTGAGGTTTCTTTTAATTTTGAGATTCTGGGCAAGACTGGACGAATGGAATAAACAGCCAGGGAGAAGGGCAGGGACGGGAAAGAGCAGTGAGGGGGGAGGAGGAGGAGGAATAGACTGCAGGAGAGGTAAAGGCAGGGTGCCGGGCCCACTGGGCACCCCCCCACCACGGCCCCACAGCGACTCCCTCCCCAGGCCTTCCCCTCTGGTCTCACGGTGCAGTGGGACCCTTTCCTTGGAGCCAAAACACCATGTGGGGTTTCCCCAGGGCCCTACCTTGCTAAATGGAGGCTTCAGCTCCTTGGGGCAAGGGAAGTGTAAGTTTGAGAATGTGCAGGACACCCTGGACAGGGGCCGGAGAAAGGAGGGCTGGGTGAGGGGCGGCTGCCCAGCACAGACCATGGCGGTGGGTTCCTATCTCCCACCACCTTCCTCTGGGAGGCCTTGAGCAAGTCACTCCCACTCTGGGCCTCCGTCTCCTAGCCAAGAAAGGAGGCCCTTGGATCCAGTGGTCTGGGGGCAGGCTTTCAGCTCCGACAGCCTAGAGGTGGCGGTGGGATGCGAAAGCTCACTTTCCCCAGGCCTACTCCTTAAAAGCCAGAGGGACTTGGGTGCAGATGGCTTCAACTCCCTGCCTTGCCTTCCTCATTAGCATCACGGGGGAGGGGACCTGAGGAGCTGACCAAACTAGAGGCCCTGGGGGTCTCCAGGATCTGCCATCCTGGACGAGCCATCAGCGCGGTATGGCCCTGACCACCCTTAAATGAATCTACACATCCAGGCCTCTTTCACGCATGACCTCCTACCCTCCCATGGCATCATTGGCAAGTGTGACCTCCCCGAGGCCCTGGCAGCCCCAGCCCAGAGACCCTACACTGGGGCAGCCGGACCCCGACCCTCCACAGGCACCCCTCCTTCTCCCCCAAGCCTTATGTGTCTGTGCTCAACTTGGTACTTGGGATCTTGGAGCCAGGTCGGCCTTGGGGAATTGGTGTGGACTTCAGAGTCCCCTTCCAGGGGGCCAGCAGGTGGTAGGGAGGAGCCCCCTCTTTCCACCCTCCTCCATCAGCAGATGCCTTCCCCCGTTCTGCTCCCTGCCTGGGAGGTGGCAGGGCAGCCTGCAGCTTATTTTTTTAACCATGAATACTAAGATGCCTTTTAAAATTTGCTGTTTTGCAAAAAAGATAGAAAAGCGTAATAAACTTCTTCCTCCGTAATCAATAACTCAGAGGCATTACTAATCTGTTTTTTCAATCAGAAATGCACGCATCTGGTGGAAAACTCGGTAAGAAGTAAGGCTCTTTCCTCCACTAGGCCTCAGCCCTAGCAGCTGTCACAGCTCAGAGCTCTTCCGTGCAGACGTGAGCACGTATACAGGTGTATGTCCTTTCTGTTTTATTAAAATAGGGCACGTTTATTTTATATAACATTTATACAGCTTACTCGCTTTTGTGTCAGATGCCATTCTAAGTATACTGCAAATATTAGTTCATTTACTCCTCCAAAGAGCCTTACCAAGTAGGTGCTGTTCATATCCCCCAAGCACAGAGAGGCTAAGGAACCCCCCCAACATCACACAGTGTTAAGGGAAGCACTTGGGAGTTGAACCTCGGCAGCCGGGCGCCAGGACCTATGCTGTCAACGACCACTCGTTGAGGCCTCTCTCATTATGCAAACAGGCTTTACCTTGGTTTTGTTTTCACCACCGATTATGTAGTCCATTCAACAAATGTTTATCGTGTGCTCACTTTGCACCAGGCACCGTCCTACTTGCAGGGGATACAGCAATCAACGGAGGATAAACATCTCTGCCTTCCTGGCCTTTACATTCTGGTTGGGGAGACAGGCAGCAAAGACTGCAGATGAGTGCTATGTACATTTGCTGGTGTGAGTCGAGCGCAGGAGAAAACTAAAGCAAGGAAAGCGGGATAGGACTTGTCAGGGAGCGATTGCAGTTCTGTCAGGGGGCAGAGGGTGTGACAGGGGGTAAAGGCCTGAAGGGAGTGAGGGAGAGAGCCCTGTGGGTATCTGGGGGAGGAGGCTTCCTGGCAGAGGGAAAAGGCACCAGCCGGGAGCCATGCCCCGCGGTGGGCTGAGCAGGGCAGCCCCTCTGGCCATGGTGGGAGCAAGGGGCACAGCGGTAGGAACGAGGGCGCTCTGGAGAGCTGTGCTGGGTGCCGGGCACGCGATGGGGCTCCGAGGAGGGTGTGGAGCAGGGGCCCATTTGATTGGACTCGTTGGTTATTTCCAGTCTTTTGCTATTCTAGACAGTGCTGCAATGAACACGCTTACACATGATGTGTCTCAGTGAAATTCCTAGAAGTGAAATTGGAGGACAGAAGATTATGTGCATCTTTTAAAAGGTTCCCAGGCTTCTACTGCGCTCCATAAATACACCAGCTTCTGCTCCCACCAGCCGTGCGGTGAGAGAGAGGGGGCGGGGGGAGGGAGGGCTCCGGTTAGAGCTTCAGGTCAGGCCGTGGGCTTCGGGGAGAGCCGTGACTGGGGTGAGATGCCGCAGGCCCTCCTGATCTGCCCCTTTGGAGGCCGAGGCAACATGGAGGCCGACTCTTCACAGAGGTGCAGCCAGAGTTCTGGACCCCAGCCAGAGCAGGGCGGTGGGGGCCTGTCCCTGTGGCGCGGACGGTGATGGCTGCGTCGAGTAGAGGCCTGTCCTAGAGGGGCTTGAGTGACACAGGGGCCTAACAGGAAATGCAGAAGTAGGGCAGATTCCAGAAGCAGTCGATTCCATTGTCAGTCCAAGTCCCGGTCTCTGAGGCGTTGTCCAACACCAACCAATTGTCTGATTCTCTGACACCGACTAGGTGCCCAATGACTCCCTTCGGTTCTAAACCTCACGACCCAGAGTGAGCACCAATCCCCCAGATGGAAGGCTCAGTCCCACAAGATGGTCCCCACTTCAGACACCAGCTGCGAGTCCTGGGACACCCGTGTTTCTGACCAACATAAGTCAGGGGTTTCCACCACCTCCTCCTCAGGTTCTATGATTTGCCAGAATGACTACAGAACTGAGGAAAGTGCTTTATGGACAATCACTGGCTAATGATAAAGGGTACCCTAACCCTCCCAGCACCACCCCCTGTTCACCACCCAGGAAGCTCTCTGAATGTTGCTCAAGAATTTTTGAGGCAACTTACTGAATGAGAGAAAATATTTGCAAATCATCTATCGGAGAAAGGAATTCATTTCCAAAAGATGTGAAGAACTCCTACGATTCAACAGCAAAAAAAAAAAACCAAACAATCCGATTAAAAAATGGGCAGAGGATGTGAATAGACCTTTTTCCACAGAAGAGGCACGGGCCAACAGGTACATGAGTCATCATCATTCATCATCGGGGAAATGCAAATCACAACCACAATGAGATATCCCGACACTTGCCAGAATGGCCGTCATCAGGAAGGCGAGAGAGAGCGAGCGTTGGCCAGGAGGTGAAGGAGAGGGACCCCTCGTGCACTGCTTTGGGAATTGAAATTGGTGCAGCCACTGTGCAGGATGATATGAAGGTTCGTCAGAAAAATTAAAAATAGAAATTCCACTTCTGGGTATTTACCCAAAGAAAATGAAAGCACCGATTGGAAAAGATATCTGCACCCCCATGTTCACGGCAGCACAATTTGCAAGAGCCAAGGCTTGGGAACAACCCAAGTGCCCATCGACAGACGAGTGGATAAAGAAGATGTGGTAGAGACATACAATGGAATCTTATTTATCCATCTGAAAGAATGAAATCTTGCCATTGGTGACACCATGGATGGACCCCTGAGGGCATTATGCTAAGTCAAGTAAGTCAGACAAAGACAAATACCGAAGGATCTCACTTAGATATGGAATCCGAAGGAAACAAGACCAAGCTCATAGATAGAGAGAACAGACTGCTGGTTGCCAGACGGGGGTGGGGGGAGTGGTGAGGTGAAATGGGCGGAAGGGAGACAGAAGGTACAAACTTCTAGTTTATTTTATGACTAGCTTATTTATAAAATAAAGAAGTGCTGGGGATGTAATGTGTAATGGTGGCTGTAGTTAAGAACACTGTGTTGCATATTTGAAAGTTGCTAAGAGAGTAGGTCTTAAGTGTTTTCATCACAGGAAAACGAATTCCGTAACCATGATAGATGTTAACTCGACTTCCTGTGATCATCTCGCAATATATACAGATATCAAGTCGTTACGCGGGACACCCGAAACGAATATACTGTCTATGTCCATTATACTTCAGTTTATTTTATTTTATTTTTTTTAAGATTTTATTTATTTCTTTGACAGAGAGAGACATAGCGAGAGCAGGAACACAAGCAGGAGGAGTGGGAGAGGGAGAAGCAGGCTTCCCGCTGAGCAGGGAGCCCGATGCGGGGCTCTATCCCAGGACCCTGGGATCATGACCTGAGCCAAAGGCAGATGCTTAATGACTGAGCCACCCAGGCGCCCTATACTTCAGTTTAAAAACCAAAGGATTTTTGTAGACCTCCATCTCCAGGCCCCCTCCCCTCCCAGGAGGTCAGTGGGTGGGGCTGGAGGTTCTAACTTTCTAATCTAGGTTCTGGTTCTCAGGTTGGGGTGACCGTGACCAGCCCCATCCGGAGGCTCTGTAGGGGCCCCACCCTTAGTCACTTATTAGCATAGACTCAGGTGAGCTAGAAAGGGGCTCCTTATGAATAACAAAAGACACTCCTATCACTTGGGAAATTCCAAGGGTTTTAGGTGCTCTCTGCCAGGAACTGGGGACAAAGAACAAATATATTACTTATTATACATACCACACCTTCCCTCTGCTCTGCTGTACTAGCTTCATCCTGAGGCTGCTTCCCGCCAAAGCCCTTTGCACAACGTGCCTGCTATTTGTAACAGAGGCCGCATGCTTTCTTGTTCAAGTCATGAAATAGAAGCCCTTTTCTTCCCTTGGATGGGCCTAAGTAGGTCAGGTGTCCGACCTTGGGGGAATGTCAGGTGCTGATGAATGAAAGGCCAGGTTCATGATCTAATAACTGGGGAGGGGGATGGTATCACCGTAATTGGCTTAGATTAATCGGAGCCCACACCTGCAGCTGAGGGTAGGCTCAGATTCTCCTGAATCTCAGTAGGTCCTGGGAGGGAGGTGTCGCACCTGAACAATGTCCAGTTCTATTAGTGGGGAGGAATGGGGGCATGGGATCCAGGTAAGCCACCAGCAGTGTCTCCCTGAGAATCAAACACATAAAAAAAAGGTGCCACCCTTGACCACCTTCTGTGTTTGACTCAGGAACCTCTCCCAACCTCTCTTTTTATCAAAATCTTATCAATGATGGAGTCAACCTATTACCTTTAAAAGGTTCTGTAGGAGGGACCACCGTGGGAGAATGTGTTCTCCTGCCCCCCCACCCCCGCCCCCAAGCCAGCTGTGCTGGCTGGAAACTGCTCTGCAGATGAAGGCCTGAAACCCAATCAGGAGCCTCACTGGCTGGACCCCAGTTCTCCAATTGCAAAATCAGGGGCTGCGCTGGGTCAGAGTTTCCCCCATGGGACCTCTTGGCCCTTAGGGCCCCTGCAGATATTTTTCCTTTGTTTCTACTAACGTATAAATACATATAGAAAAATGCACATATTATAAAAGCACGGCTCAATATATTTTCACAAACTTAACACACCCAGTGGACCAGCACCAAGATCAAGAAATAGAGCATGACCAGCATCTGACAAGCCCCTTGCTTATCCCTTTCTAGTTCTTCCCAGTTCTTTCCGCAAACACTTCTAACACCGTAGTTTTGCCCATTTTTTTTTTTTTTGAAACTTTATATAAATGGAATTATACTGTATGTACTCTTTGGGGTCTCATTTCTCAGCGTTGCGACTACATACTGTAGCATGTAGTTGTGGTTTGTTTAGTCTCATAGCTGCATAGTAATCGACCCACCGAACTATTTTGTAAACATAAAGAAGCTTAATGAACATTGTACAGTTCCCTGTAATCAGCAGGACAAATGAATGAGCATGCCAGATCTCTTTGCTTTTGCTTAGGATGATAGCAACTAACCAGTGTGTTAACCCTGGTTATCACATACCAGTGTGTATAGGAAAAGCTAGGAAAAGGAATGAATTCTTTTTTTTAGATTTATTTATTTTAGAGACAGAGAGAGAGAGAGAGAGTGTGCAGAGGGAGGGGCAGAAGGAGAGGGAGAGACAGTCTTAAGCAGACTCCCCACTAAGCACAGAGCCCGACGCGGGGCTGGATCTCATGATCCTGAGATCGTGACCCGAGCCAAAACCAAGAGTTGGACGCGTAACTGACTGAGCCACCCAGGCGCCCCGAAAATGAATGAATGATTATACAACGTATACAGTCTTTCCGGTAGACAAAATCTTTCAAAATGGGAATCACAAAGCAAAGTAAAAACAGAAGTCTTTCGTGGTAGAAATATCGGGGCCCTTACAGATCCATCAGTCAGTTTGCATTCATTCATCAAATGGGCCTGGTATTCAGTCTCTAATTTGGAGTCCGTCCTCCCAACCAATTGGTTGGGTCTCAGCATCCAATCACAAGTGTGTGAGGATGGCAGAACCTTAGGCCTTATCTTCTCCAGCAATTTCTAAATTAAATGATGATAGAGTTCCTTGAAAGAGTTTTTAAGTGACTTTTTTTTCCTCCTAAGCCAAAAGAAGAAAAGAGAAACTCTTCCTAACACGCTGTGCCAACCAACTGCAAGTGATCCCCCAGAATACATCCTCCCAGACCTGTGTGTGCAAATCCATATGTGAATATATTTCTAAAATGGGATTACTTTGTATCTTTCTTTTCACAATTTTCATTTTTAAAAATAGATTTTACTTTCTAGAGAAGTTCTCGATTCACAGTAACGTGAGGGGGAAAGTGTAGTTTTCACATTCCCCCTGTCCCCACACACCCGCTGTTGCCCCCGATGTGGGGGTTACAACTGATGGACTGCACCAACACATCATTATCGCCCAGAGTCCGTGGTTTACATCAAGGCTCCCTGTTGGTGCTGGACATTCTATGGGTTTAGACAAACGTATGATGACATGTGTCCACCATTATGGTTATCACACAGAGTAGTTTCACTGCTCTACAAATCCTCTGTGCTCCTGCCTATTCATCCCTCCCTCCTGCTAACCCCTGTCAACCACTGAACTTTTTACTGCCTCCATAGTCTTGCCTTTTCCAGAATGTCCTATAGTTGGAATCATACAGCAGGGAGCCTTTCAAATTATCTTCTTTCACTTAGTGACTTTCACTTTTCATTAACAGTGTGTTGAGCATGTGTTTCCATGCCCATAAATATTCTTCTAAAGCATTGCTAATTGCTGTCTAATAGTTCACTGTGTGCTATATATGAACTTCTCTCCTGTTTTCAAGGTGTACATTTTTCCCTGGTGTTTTTGTTGTTGCTGTTGTTTTTGTTTTTTGCTACTAAAAGTGTTGCAGAGGACAGCCTTGGGGGTACATCTTTGCACACAACTTAATTATGTCCTTAGGAGAAATTCCTAGATATGGGGTTGCTCCTACGAATGTTTTGCTCATTTCAAGTCTTTTGATATGTGTGGCTAAATCGCCCTCCAAAAAGGTTGTACCAATTAATTTTTCCAACCAGGAGGGTATGTAGAGTATTTCCTCCACACTTTTGCCAACCTGCAAAATTATTGAGATTTTTTAATCTTTGCTAACTTAATAGAGGAAAAATGATGTTTATTTTAATCTATATTTATTTGGGTATTAAAGTTTTGTGGTTTTCCATAAGGCATATTGGCCATTTGTCTTCTTCTATAAATTGCTTTTTTAATATTATTTTCCTTTTTTTTCTATTGGGATGAGCATCTTTATAGTTCAGATTTTTTAAAAGTGTTTCGCTCCTAAAGGTAGTAACTGCTTATAAAGGCCCCCTTTTTAATGTCAAAACTTTTTCATCAATGTGCCCACCTGATGCCTGCTCTACTTTTAAAACAACAAATAAATTGAATGATAATAAGAACTCATATTTATGGAGTGCTTATTATACGCCAGGCGTTATGCTGTGTAAAACAGCCTTATGAGATAGGTTCTGACCTCAGTCCCATTGGACAGATGGGGAAACTGAGGTAGGAGTGGTTCATTTTCTCCAGGTTACATAGCTTGTAAGTCGCTGTGCTGGTATCATTTGATTAACCAAAGGCATGGTGACATTCGGCTTCTATGAATTCAGTAACGTTTTAAAATAAATGTATCATTTGTTCATCCTAAAAGTATCCACATACATTTACAAATCT